GACGTAAAACCGTAAAGACGTAAAACCGTAAAGACGTAAAACCGTAAAGACGTAAAACCGTAAAGACGTAAAACCGTAAAGACGTAAAACCGTAAAGACGTAAAACCGTAAAGACGTAAAACCGTAAAGACGTAAAACCGTAACGACTTTCGTAAATTTGAACGCCGTGCGACGTGTACGCTTTTCCAAAGACGTAACGTCATAACGCTCTCGACATGTATGCAAAATGTGAGACTCCCTATACTGATCAAGATAGGTCAATGAAAATCAGCGAGAAATTTGCTTGGAAGCGATTTATTACTACCGTATTTTATTTCGGGAAAATAAAGATGAAACTTATTTATCTGTTATATATAAACTTTTGTTAAAGCGGTGGCGTTCAGTTATATGTCTTATGACACTGTTGATCACGTAATGCATTGTTCGTGGGACACTCTTCATAACTGGATCGTCCACTATTTTTTAAAAAAAAGTTAATGCAGTATAAAAAAAAAGTGATATCAGATTTTAAGTAGGTTAAAAAAAATCCATGATAACACCGGTTTTTGAATATATAACTGAAACTCTGTCTTCTTCGAAGTCTTGGAGGGAGTTTCGCAAAATACTCTACAAATCAAAAAATCTAAGTAAAATAACTGAATATTTTATTTATACCAACAATACAATGAACTAGCAACATCTCAATGACTTCCTTTATATAAATCTCGAAACATTTCTAATGCTTCTACTCTATATTGTAATCCTTTTTGTGCATCTCCTAATTTATGGTAAGTCGATCCAACATTATTCAATGATCTTGCGACATCTGGATGGCTACCGTCATATAATGTTTTTATTATTTTCGAATTATTTTCATAATATTTTATTAAATTGTCAAAATTGTAGATTATGTTTTCATCGTATTTTGCTATTTTTAAATACAAAGTGGCTAAATTTTCGTTGTCTTGAATTTCTTGTGGTAGGTTCATATTTATCAACTTATATGCATGTCTATAGTATATTTCTGCTTTAGTCCAATCACCGTTAGGCATATCATGAATTTCTGACATTTTATTATCGACGGCTTTAACCAACTTTTCTAATAGCTTCGTTTTCTGTATGCACTTTCCGTTTCTTTTTCTATATATTTTTCAATTATGTCTTTTATTGTCGAATGTATTTTTATTACAGGTTTTTTCTCATTTCCAAACTGAATCTGATTTACCAATGAAAGATCTTCTAGCGCTTGTTTTTCTTTATCGATATCAATTTCATTATTACTTTTTTCTTCTGTTAATATTTCTTTGAGTATATCTATGCTTATAAAATTTTCATCTAAATAAATGCAATGCTGTAATAGTTTCCATCCGTTTAGTGATTCATTTACTAGTTCTTTAAGCAAATACTCTTCTGTTTCTATCTCCCCATGTTGTTTTATTTTTTCTTCATAATTTTCTATCGTATGAACTCTTCTTGTGTAGTAAAGCCATTACTTTTGATAATTTAAATGAATACACTTCTTTTTCATTTGTTTTTATCAGATCAATTAGTTTTTCTGCTTGAAATTGATTAAACTTTCTCTTTTTATCAACGTTTTGTATATATTCAATGCATTCACTTCTAGTTAATGGTTTCATTTCCAAATTTGATTCGTTGCCAAACTTGAAATTATCTTTCAAATTATTATTTTTAATTGTTATGATTGTTCGAACATTGTTTGGTAAATTTATTATCAATTCACTAATATTATCGGCATCTTTTGCATTATCAAATATAAATAGAATATTTAATTCTAATATTTCCAGACTGCTATTTACCAACTTTATAATACTCTATCTTTCTTTTATTTCATTTCCTGGTCTAAGCTCTTTTGTTGCCATATTTTCGTAATCATTCCAAACTAAATCTTTTGATTCAGCATGAAACCAACCCTAGAGAACGTACTTGATGCAAGTACTTGATTACTTGCTAAGTACTTGGTGAGTACTTGGAAAAATTGTCAAGTGTTTTCAAAATTTCTTACGTGCCATGTACTTTCAGAAGTATTTCTCAATGGTAAAAATACTTTCTTTTATTGCTAAGAAGTACTTTGTGAAAGTCCTAGGCAAGTAAGGGCTTTTTTATCATCGTAAACCGAAAACAGCGTATGTAAAAGCCAAAAGGGTTTTTCTGTTTGACCAAAAAACTAAAAAGGGTTTTTTAGAAAGAGTCGAAGGGTTTTCTAGCTTTGGTAAAAAGCAGCAGAGTTTTTTCCTAAACGCATTTGGTTTAGGAAATCATCGTTTTTGGTTTTTGAAGTAGCGAAGAATTTTCCAGTTTGAGCAAAAAAGTCAAAAGGGTTTTTTAAAAAGAGTTAATCGAACATTTTATATTTCGAAATCTAACAAACAATTTATCTTAACGTCGGTGAACTCTTATGTAGCGATTTCTATACAAAGAAAGAGTGAAACAGAAAAACTTTTGATAGGAGATTTCTCAAAATAAAGTGTTTCTTAAGGTAATTGATATACTGATTTCACCATGTTTTACCCGGTTTTCTCTTCGGGAACAAAATGCTTTAATTCTGCTTTAGAAAAGTTAAAAAGCAGATATAAACTAAAAATAGGGTTAAGATCAGCAGTTGTTTGGATGAGACAGGTTAGGACCGCCCGCCACTATCTATTTACATGAATACTATAACTATGCTTAGGAAAACGTGTTTTCTTTGCGGACTTCAGACATAGAATAATAGAAGTTCGCAAAGTGAATATTAGGCGATAATAGAGAAACACTGGAATAATATTACCATGAAACAATCCAAGTACTTGCAATTTTACTTGACAAGCGTTTGAACAAGTGCTTGTCAAGTGCAAAATCAAGTGCTTGCACGCTGAACAAGTACTTACAAGTAAATTTACTTGTGGAAAAAAGACAAGTACCGGCTACATTATGCAAGGAGAGTACTTGTCCCAAGTACTTGGGCACAAGTACGTTCTCTAGGGAACGAAGTATTTTATTATTTTCATCTTTTTGTACACGACCATATTTTGATGCAAGTGTTGTCTTACCCGAACCAGCGAGGAATGTCCGACTTCCATCAATTCCGGAATTACACAACATCCACGAGAATTTTACTGTCTTGCACGAGAATTCTACTTGTGTGAGAGCAACTAAGAATGTCCCTAATTCATTCTTCGCGAGAATTTTACTTCCGCACAGGAATTTTTAGAATTACCACGAGAATTCTACTTGCATGAAAGGAATTGAGAATATCTCTAATACATTCTCCACGAGAATTTTACTTTCATGTAGGAATTTTGGGAATTACCACGAGAATTTTACTTTCATGTAGGAATTTTGGGAATTACCACGAGAATTTTACTTTCATGTAGGAATTTTGGGAATTACCACGAGAATTTTACTTTCATGTAGGAATTTTGGGAATTACCACGAGAATTTTAGTCTCTGTACGCGAGAATTCTACTTGTGTGAGAGGAACTGAGAATATCCCTAATACATTCTCCACTAGAATTTTACTTTCGTGCAGGAATTTTGGGAATTACCACGAGAATTTTAGTCTCTTACACGAGGATTCTACGTGGGTTAGGTTCTGACCTTGATTTACATGGTGAATCCGAATTGAAGCTGAGTTGAAAGACGACTTCTACGTTAAGAAATCCAGAATGGTCGAGAAACGCGGCAACTCGGACCGGTGATAAAATTCATGTTGTACCTAAAGAAATGTACAATAATGTAAGGATTACAGATTAATTGTAAGGATTACGTGCATGTGAAATACACAACTATTTCCACTGAGAATTCGTGTTAAAATTCCGAATTTCATAATATGCTGTTTGTGGCTCTTCGAGTATTTCAAGAACATTTCGCATACTGAAATTCCTCTCGGTGACTCACTGTCACAACCTCAGCCCCCCCCCCCAGTTCTCGAGATAATTCTCAAAATTCCTGTAGAAAAGTAAGATTCTCGTGAAGAATGTATTAGGGATCTTCTCAGTTCCGCTCACACAAGGTGAATTCTCGTGTAGGAGGCTAAAATTCTCTTTGAGATTGCTGGTCCTGCTTCTTTCATAACTAAACTTCTCGTGCGGTAGACTGAAATTCTCGTGAAAGGAAGTGAAATCCTTGTGGAGAGACGCAAAATTTCGGAATTTCGGGAAGTCTTTCTGCTGGTGATTTGTGTACTATATTTGGCTTTTAGTCAAGGGGAAAATTCTCACGATAACAGAAAAATTCTCGTGGTAAGAGTAAAATTCCGGAATTTGTGGAACTCGGACACTGCTAGAACCAGCATAACCACGAATAATAATATATTTATTTGATTTTAAAAATATTTTTTCTATTTCCTTGAATAATGCTTCTTTTTGTATAAAATGTTTAACGTTTTCATTCGGTATATAGCTTGATAACCGTATTAATGCGTTACCTCAATCTCAAATGAGAAATATGTTTTTTTAAAGAATCAGCTTTATTCTCTATATTTTCGTTTATTTCTGGAACGGTTGTTAAATATTTATTTTGACTTTTAGTTATCGTTGTGTTAATATATCAACTTTATTTCCTAGTTGAGATATATCTGAATATAACTCATCAAATTTTGGTCCCATCGACTTTATTACTTCTTCATTCTCAATTATTTTATTTAATTTTCTTCTAATTTCATCATTGTCGTTTGAAGTTTTTAAAAGATCATAAAGATTTTGAATTTCTTATTTAATTTCATTTTTATTTTTAATATTTAATTTTTCGATCTCTTTTATCTCCTTAATCAAGTCTTCCTTATGTTCTGTCATCAAATCAATTATTTCTTCTCTATATTTTTTAAATATTTCTTTATCACTATAGGATGACGATAATACAGAATCAATTTTCTTCACATAATCTTGTTCCATATTTTGATCGTCACATAGGTCGATGATTATTTGTTTTAGTTCATATTTGTAATAATCATAATTACCGTCACCGAACTTAAATGCAGTTAAATGATCAAAATTTACATTACGTATTAATCGTAACCGATTAAAATTAGTAGCTAATGAATTATCATTTGGATCCATATGATAGTCTTCCCACCAGCCATTTGTTGGTATCTCTCGAGTTAAACATCGTAATATGCTAAAACAAGATGATAAATCAAAGGACAAGTGGCAGAATGTAAGGTTTCGTGCCCAAAAAATTACGCAATGAGTCATACATATTCGGAATCAGCGTCGAATTCTGAGTAAAACTGTATTCTCAGATCGTTCAAATTCGCGAAAA